CAATTTTCTTGATTATTTATAAATTAATTGTTAGAAAGTTTCTTTATGTTAACTATGGCAAAGTTAATTACATTGTAAATATCGAGTTTGATTATTTTATAAATTAAATATAATTATGAGAATATGCAAATTAATGTATTTTAAACTTATATATTTCAAAACAATTAAAACATTGTTCTATAGTTTTTTAATAAAATTATTTTTTTATTTTTTTAAATACTACATTTATTTGCACAACTTGCTGAAAAATTGGAAAATTATAAACTGTGCTCAATTATACTAATAATATAATATAATCAAATACAAAAATAAATATTTATGTGTATAAATCAATACATTTAAAAATTATTTAAATCTAGACTTATTGAGACATAATATGACATGATATTACATATTTTCTTGTATATTTACATTTTCAAAGATAAATTGATTTCATTGAATGTTAGTAAATCGCATTCTGGTACTATATTCAGTATTTCATAAACGTATAATCTGTGAAAATTTATAATGCGCAAAGTATACTAATGATGGTAATAGAAAAATATATTTTTCATTTAACAGAAAATATGCATAAACGGTGATTTTTCTGTTGAATATCGTCACTATCGATACTGAATAATTTAAACTATTATTAAAATTGCGGATAAAAAACTAAAGCTATTTACATTTACAATTTAAATCTAGGTCTTTGATTAAATTTTGGTGGTATATTTTTTTTAATCTCCTTAATAGTGTTTTTGGTCGTTATGACCAAGAAAGTCTAAAAATATGTATTAAAAAAAACCAAAAACCCTGTGTGTAATTAATGCTTTTTCTTATACGACTGCATAATAATTATACCTTTAGAAAGAATAAATATTAGTCGTTCTTTATTTTTTTTAATAACATTTAATAAGAATAATATACACCAGAATTCTCATCATATCGTATATTGAAAATAAAAAAAATAACGAAATCTTATTAAAATTGACTACCTAATCTAATATTTATTATAATATATTTATTAATTTTATACTCCCGCTGTTGTATCAATGTGAAACAATGTATTCAACTAACTACAAAGTAATTCAGAAAACATGCAAAATATGTTCATGTGTAGTTACACATTAATGTGATTTAATATTGGTGTGTTTTATCCAGCATAAGTATAAATTATTGATGACTTGAAAATAATATCAGATACATTAAAAGTGTGTGTTAATTTATTTTTGGAGCTTGATGTTGTTTTAACCCTACCTTCATATAATATGTGAACTCACGGTTCAGCTGAATAAATACGCTCGTGTATATGTGAAAGTTTGGGTAATAGTGAGTCGCTGTTTTTATTGACAGTAAAAGTCAACGTCAAAATGAAAGCCGGGTAAAATTTAGAAATAACAATCGTTGAATTCGTCTACATACAGCAGAAATTACTTATAATGATGTTTCAAAGGCTAATGAAATAAACGGTCATCATAAGATAAATGTGCTATAAGAGTTTTAACTTGAAATGTAAAATGTATCAGTGTCATTAAAAATACAATGTACTTTAATTACTTCAAGTTAATCTTTTAAAATGTCCGACAAAATAAATTAAATTTCTATTCCATTTTTTAATTTAATACCTATTGCTTTGTATTGATTATTCCGAATTTTGATAGTAAACCTACTCGAAAACAACAGCAAACAATAATAGTAACCAACACGGAATTTGTTTTTGATTAAAAAATAAATTAGTATTCAATAAACATATGGAAATCATTAACGATATGACTACTGAAAATTAACACAGGTCCCATTGCTCGACAAATTTTTTCCCTTTATATTTTACGGTCGTAATTATTTAGATCCCATTTGCTTGATAGTTGTAAATATCATTGAAAATTAATAATACAAAAAAAAAAAAAATCAAAAATAAATGCACAAACTCCAACTATTATCATAGCGATGTGTAGAAGTTTTGAAGTATAAGCTGGTTCACGTACGATATATTCGAACAGCATGGGGCACGCACTAAACGTGTAAGCCTGTGGTTTCGGGAGGTCATGAAAAACTTTGCTTTTAAGCTTAAGTGTACGAACCGCACGTCTAGTGTACAACCCTACATGTGTCACATTAATAATAGTTTTTTTGAGTTATTGCAGTCTTGAATTGAGGTGACGATATCATAATGCTCGTTTAACACTAACATACTATTACATAATATTATATATTATTTATTAATATGTAATATTATTGTTAATATATGTGTATATGTATATGTATATATATAAATTACTTAAATTATTCCGTCTGGCCCGGGGGAAATTACTAATTAGATAAGCTATTTTAGATTAGAGCAATTCCACTTTTTTTTATTAAAGATAAATTTACTGTCTGTACAATAACATAACCATTAATAATTATGATAGAAATATGAATGTAATTGATATCAGTTAGCAGTGGAAAGTTTTTTTTTACTCAAATTACCAATTTGATAGGATCACCCAACAAAATTATTTACACTATGCAATTTAAACGGCCACAAATTAGTACACAAAGTCACTGCAAATATAAATGTTTATATTAATAACATTAATTATATTTCAGAATTTCAAATTTCATATTATTATTACAGCGTATTCAATACATACAATATTATATTACATCGTGTAATGGGTATTTTACTATAACAATTATTTTCATGACTTTCTTTTTACAAAGATTACCTACCCCCATTTTCTTATGAACCATATGATTTAAATATAAGCCCTCTGTAACACTACTAATTGACATGAGTGACATGATTGTGAGAAATGGCTCATTAACAACATCACATAAATTGTTATATAGGTCACGGGACCAGTTCTTTTTTAGGCATCGTTTTCAGGTATGAGAAGATATATTTATTTATAACGGGATTTATGAGAGAGCCGAATTCGTAATGGAATTATTTGAAGTATGTGATAGCTAGTTATTTAACGGTTGCAACTAATCCCAAACTCAAACGTTTTAGAATAAAAAAACGCACAAGTGTCGTTTATTTTAATGTTACTTATATTTATTTGTTTTTAATAATATAACTTACTTATATTTCGATGGGTGATTATTGAAATCAACATATTAAATTAAATTAAATATTTCTCCAGGAACTAAAAAGTGAAACATTTAAAAATTCGATCCAGAGCAGCTCAAAACAGTTTTGACCTTTAAAATCATCTTTATACATATTTATAAAAATTCAATTTCAATTTACTTCTAGAGTTTTAGAAGAACCACTGCGTCAACATTGAAATTCATTCGTTTTTGTCGTTTTTCGATATGTTATGTGTATATACACAATCAAATTCAATTACGGACACAGATTTCGTAATGTAGTAACCAGTGACGTAGCTAAAGCGGAGGGTCACCCGCCCCTTAGAATTTTTTATCGGTTAAATCACGGTTGATGACTAATAAAATAATATAATATATATAAACGCAATATTTTTTAATTGACCATCCCTTGATTGAACTACAACTACGATACTGGCAGGAGGCGCGTTTATTACTTTTTAACGGACCGCCATGTTGCTTCTGGGCTCACGCGCGCATATTACGTGTTTCTCGTGGTGAACGGGAGGGACCGAAGATATTAGAATCTGGTCGTCCGGATTTTCGTTTCAAACGGGGGTGCGGCTAACTTCTACGCCACTACGTCGCGAGTTATTGTCCTAAAACGCGCGCCACGAGGATGGGGGAGGGTCTATGGTGCCGCGTTCGATTCGAACCGGACTTTCGTGCCGCCGCACAGTGAAAGAAACGGCAAATTAGAACGAACAAAACTTATTAAATTAATAGTGATTAAATCTGATTCAACTCTATGCCTTATAAAGATAATTGCATTCACGATAAGAAAATTTGTTATAAATGACCATAACAGGTATCGGGTTTAAAATATTAGCCATTTAAGACCGCGAGATCGGCTTGTAAGCATTGTTATTTAATATATAGTTTAACTTAATATACTCCAAACACACGTTAAAAAAATTAAATAGAAGTTTTGGTGTCAAATAAAAAAGTAACCACTAAACAGAAAAATACAATTCAAAATTCTATGTGGACTAAATTAGGAATAAAAATAGAGAGAGTTTTGCAGGGTAAAGGTACATCTAATATTGGCAATGATGGGTGGCAAATTTTTGAGCATGGAGATGAAGTATCAAAAATAACTGGGTTAGATAGAAGACTTTTAGACCAATTTAAAGTTATTTTGAGTATTTTAGTAAGTTTTAAAGTCGTGGACGCTATTAAATATGATAAATATGCAAAAGATACAACGAAATATTTATTTGAAACTTTATAGCTGATTTAGAATGTCTCCAAGCATACATAAAATATTGATTCATAGATCTAAAGCAGAAGTACAGAACGTAGCCTCCCTTTCCAATAAGAATTTTATCCGAGGAGGAGAAGGCCCAAGAAGCCAGAAATAATGATAATATTAGTTTCAGGCGATAACATACACGGAAAATCTCAAGAATTTATACCAATACACACCTAATACACATGCATCTTATAACTTCGTATCATGTAAGAATTTCAAAAAGTGATGTTAATATCAAAACAAAAGAAAAAAAGTCGTGTCCTTATAAAATAAAAATAATAACGAACACACTAACTTTGAAGATCCTGAAAATCTCTCAAATTATGAAGATGGAATGAATTATGATTCTGATAACTCGTAGAAGTGTAGTCATTAGGTACAAATTAAGTTGAAATAATTCCAAACGATATTAGTTTATCGTGTACATTACAACTTCCTTTGATATGTATTTAAAAATGTTTAGTATCATAAATATATGTTGTTGGTCAGTGTAGTACGAATCTGAAAACCTGATTTCATTAAGGTTTTTTGCAGTCGACACGACGCTAACAAACGGTTATAAAAACGATTGTGTCCTCCCGAAAAATCCTATCACTCCCACCGGCGCGCCGGTAGCGTTGGCGGCGGCGGCAACGACGCGTCGTGCTCGCCGTCGCGGCAACAAGTGTGCCAGCCTACACCGGCGACGGACGGCCACCAGAGCGGTTCCTCCCGGAGACGGCAACCGACGAGAACGTGCGTGGGCGTGTGTGCGGTACGGCGTGCGTTGTTCCACATTGTCGCCACTCCGTACCACCGGTCCGTGTGCGAGCGGTTCGCAAATACGAGTTTCTAATTTCGATTTTTGTTTGTCATCACGATTTCGCGTACGCGCGAGCTCGGCCGTCACCCGATCGCGGCCGACCGGATCATCGCGCCGCAGTCGGTTTCCGTCCGGCCGAAAGCACGTCCCGAGTGTCCCGTGCCACGGTCCTTCTGCACGTCTGCTTTCGTCGTATCGTTTTTCGTATTTTTTTGTTCCGGACTTAATGCCGCCGCTACCGTAGGCCGTGGCTGGAAACAAGTTTCTCCCGGCCCACCTGTGCGCGTGTGCCGTCGCCGAGGTTCCAGGGAATTCCGTCCGATAGGTAAGTGTGTGACGGAATAATGTCCGCGAGCGATCATTCATTCGAGCACCTAGGACCATATTTTAGGTGCGGCGAAGGGGCGATCGCTCCCTCCCCTGAATCCGTATTTAAGGAATCGATTATATGTGAGATATACGTTTCAAATTTTTTTTTAATGTGGATCATTTTATAACGAAATCAAATCACGCTTGGATGTCAATATTCAATTGGGCTTTTTGTCGGGCTATACTTAGTGAAAAATCAAATAGAACACAAGCGTAACTTTCAAAATACAGACAGGTGTTAAAAAAGAACTAAACAAAAATCGATTCAAAGTGGAACCGGCATGATATTAAAAAAATTTACTTGTAAATTTTTCTCGAATTAAAGAAAAATTTAAGTCCCCCCCGCCAAGTAATAAAGCACCGCAGTATCCCAATAGTCAATGTCCATGTGGACATAATTTTCATTATCGCGATCTCTATCTCCGGACACTCCGGAAGGTCGTTTCCTCCCAGACAATGGTCTACAAGAAAAAAAAAAAAAATGACGTGTATGCATCCGTATATAAAGGTGTACGGTATATACGACACACTTTAGTTTCTCAACGGCTGCGAATGCCGTTTGTAATTTGAATTCTGCGCAAAAATGAGTTTTCGAAATGGAATTGAAAACGTTATCGAAAACTGTTTAATAACGTAATAGTTTATAAATACTAAATTCTCAATGCATTTTTGATACGGTGAACTGATTGGGAAGTTACTACAAAATTAAATTGAATAGAAATTCGAAAATATTTCAATACACTTTTGAAAAATAAGGATATGTATTATCCTATTATAAATTCAAATGATTGTCAGTCAAATACACATTTATTGAGAAAAATGCTCTGGCAAAAAATGAGTGCAATTCTTTTCTGTCAGGACATTACAGAGATCAATAGTCTACAGTAGTGCTATACACCATTAACAATGAAACTATGAGTGCATATTTTAACCACATTACTTATTAACCATTAGTAAACACTATTAAATATGATCAATTATTTTCAAACAATTTTTTTAATACATTTTATTAACATCCCAATCAATAATAAGGTGCACCATAAATAAATACTTCATCTAAATGATTTTAATGTGGATGAATCGAATATACAATTATCAGAGAGAATATGAATAACAAATAAAATACTATATTTTAGATGTTTCATGTACGTTTAAAAATAAATTACTTTTGCACGTGGAAGCAAAAAATGTTTCCAAAAAATACTGATCAATAAAAAAAATTCTTAGACATGGAAACTAATAATAAATGTATAAGACCTCTAATTAGTTATCCGATTTCTAATTAAATCATGATAGTTGAATAAATTATAATTTGTAAGCTCATACCATTTTCAAGATTCATATTTACGTGAAGAAAATATGACACTCTGTTATTCAAGGAATAATATGTTTCTTATAGAAATTATATTTTTTTAAATACAAAAAGTTTTAATGAGATAGAATATGATTCAAAATGTTAAATCTTAAAATTAAATAAGAGATCTTCATCTTCTAGTGAGTACATTATTATAATGTTTTTCTCCAAAAAAATTTCTTGGAAAATTTTTTAAAATTATCAGGTTATAGAAAACTAATTTAAACAACTAAATCATTTTCATAGGTTTTTTCGAATAATTCTCACTTTAGGAAAAATTTGTTTTCAAATAATTATACATTATACATTGATATAATTTTTTTAAAAAAGGAAGGCTAAAGGTAATGTGATAAAATAACACTCCATTTATGATCAACTATTATATAAATATAAAAAACAAAATAAAAAAAACCATAAAAATAAATAAAAATGAAGTATTTTACTTCCTGATATAGTCCAACCAAATAATATACTTATTAATATTAATATATAAGTTTTATAAAAATTAATATTTTAATTGTATTATACTTGAGACTAAAAGACTTTACATGATATATTGATATATTGTTTATACATTTTTTTATTTTCCTATGATAGTCAAATGGATACCAAAACTAGAAGATATAATGTAAAGTTTTGATTTTAACGAATATTACCAGAGTGTAATAATTTTTAGGTTCAAAGATGAACTGAATTGAAACTTAAATAATAAAAAAAAAAAAAAACACAAAATTATCATGAATTATCTAGAAGATTAATAAGAAAAAAAACATGTGTGATGCATAAGTTGAGTAAATCTTTACGATCAAATGTGACTCTTAAATAGTTTTTATTCTTTTACATCAAGTATACTAACTATTGGTACAATATTAATAGGAAGTAAGATATAATTAAAAATAATGGAACATTATACTAATATTTTGTAGATTACATGCAAAGGTTTTTAAAGTAGAAATATTGTAGACATTTGAAAACAACGATTAATCTTATCATGTTTTAAAAAATGAACGCTGGTTCTATTTTAAAAATGTCAATTCAAATGTTACAGTAAAGAGATCCTTAAAAAGATGTCTCAGGTATAATACTTCTTCAGATTAATAACGATAAGGAGTTCAATACAGAAACATGCATGAAATGTAATCGTGATCTTTTCCGTAGATCTATAAATTAAACAATTATTTTTTTAACATTTTTTGACAACACAACCATATTCCGCAGAACAAAAACATTCAGAGTAAACACATTGTAGAAGCTCTTTTTATTTTTTATTTTTTTAAATGGAAAACTTTATGTATATGAGTTCTTATTATTTTTTCTTATACATTTTATGAAGCTAAAAGAAAAAATTAAAACTTCAAAAATATTAACATATAAATAACTTCGAATCATTTTTGTAGTTAAAAAATAAAAACACTGTGATGCATCATTGATAATATTCTCCTAAATAAAAATTGAGCAATTGCTTTAAATTCATTTTGAATGATTTTTATCTCTTATAAAACTTTTTTTTAAGTATATAATTTATAACTTATGAATAATAACATATAATATTAATATGAAGGAAATTGCCACTCTTGTTCGAAAAAAAATAAATTATTATTTTGAAGACATAGCCAAACAGCATGTGAATAAATGTAATATTAACAGTAAGGTCTACAAATTTTAACTGAAAAATATACGTAATCATCAAAAGTGTGTGAATATTCAAAATATCCATTTTGTTATTTAAACATTTTTTCGAAGGTATTTATAAAAATAAAATATTTAACAACAATTTAAAAAAATAACTCACAATTATGAATGCAGGTATTGTAAAAAAATAAAATAATAAATTGTTACAATTAGTATCGAAAAAAACCAATACCTTTATTATTATATTACTATGTGTCGGTCATAATATAAAAATATATAAATACATTAACGTTCAGCGTCAACCATAAACTTATGAACTACAGACAAATTAAAGCAATGAATCGTACAGACAGTTTTATTCGTAGTCCCATGTGTGTTTGTGAGCTCACTGAATAAAATACGTCATATACTTTCGCGTTCTACCGCCTAATTTAATATTTTTTAATCTGATATGTCCAATACAGTTTACAAAATAAAACACTGGAAATGTGTGAGAGGGGGAGGGGTAAAGAAAATGTTATTATAATAATCGATGCACGTAACTTAAACACCAAACGGGACTGTTATAAAAAATAAACTCCATAAACCGGTGTTCACTATTTTTCCCGATAATTTATTCAAAATTAATTTATAAAACCAAAATAGATCACTTTTATTAGTTTATTTCAATTTTCAAACGATCAAAGACTATTCAATTTATTTTTGGCAGAATTATTAAACACGATTTCTATTATTTTTCCGTTTGAATACACTTTATATAATAATAATTATAACGTATAAAGCTAACTTTTCACTAACTTAACCTTTTATATACTCTGCTCCTATTTTTAAAACGTTGTTTCATTCAAATACTTTTAAAATACAGTATTCGTTTCATAGATGATTACAGAAAGCATTAATTATTGAAATGAAAAATAATATTCAGTACTACTCAGTAACATAATATCACCAATATTCAACCTAATATTCAAAAAATAATAAATATATCGAATTTACCATAGTTTATTAACTGAAATTTTGTATGCAATTTCTATAATTTGGTAGTTATTCAATTGCCTAAATACACTATAAGAATTAAATTTTAATAATTTATATAATATTATTATTGAATAATAATAAATAAAAGTTCACATGCGATAAATTTAATAAATATTTTTAAAACGAGGATTACATTGAAAATGTACTGGGTTAACGAGTGACGAAACAGAATACTATGGCAAGTAGTTTTATTGTGAACCGAAATTCTACAAAACGGTATACCATCTCCATAAGTAAAATTAAAAGTAAAACAAACGTAATGCAGTGAAGACAGTAATGAGAAACTTTCCCAGGCGTTCATACCTAAATAAAATATGTTTGTATATGTATAGCCTGTGCTGATGTATAACAACTTTTCTGTCGAGTGATTAAAACAAATACATTCAAGAAATGGCATAAAACTGTGGTATACTAACCTTCAGGTAGTACTTTTTATTTTTTTTCCTAGTAAAAACTGTGGTGCAACATTTTTTTGGTTGATACACTTAGAAGTTTTACGTGGTACAAAAGTGTTTTATTTTTATTTTTACAAGTCCACTAAATAAACAATTTTTATTTTTTTAAAAAATAAAAACTTAAAGGCTTAAAGTGGAAAGTTAGTTTAATAAAATCTTTTGGTCTATTACGTGCTACAATACACAGTGGCTTACTACTGGTAAGCAAGTATAGGTAATATATGCTTGGTAAAGCAGATATTTAAGAAGAATATAAAATTTACAATATTTATGTTATACGTTGTGTTCAAATGATAGTTTATATTTCATAAAGTTAAAGTTCAAATACATTGGAAGTTGTTAGAATAAATTACCAAATAATCTATGATATAAAATTTCTTGATATTTTATGATGGTTATAAAAAAAAAAAAAAACAATTCAGACAGAGATTTTTATAAAATTATAACTTATTACTCAAAAAATTACGAGTATCAATT